GAAGTACTCAATCTTTCTTTTATAATTTCTAAATCTTCTTCTATGTCAATTTCTATATAGCTATAGTCATTGTTGTCTATTATAGTAATTATTCTTTCAAAAAGATTTTCTATTTTTATTTTATCAATTTTATTTCTTGCCGTTACTTTATGTTTTGTTATTAGTATATATATGTTTTTACATCTTGCTGTAAATATTTTACTAAGTAGTTGGCACTTATTATAAATTTAAATTTTTGGTATATTAAATTTTCTTTTACCGCACTAATTATATTTTTTTCTATCGGGTATATAATTCTATCATCTACTAAATATATTTTAATGGGTGTATCTATTCATTCTCTAAAACAAGCTTTTATCAATATTTCTGTTCCACCTAAATGTACGTATTTTATAGGTGTTTTAGCTTTTATATCTTGTATTTCTTTATTTATTATCCTCTTATTTAGTATATGTATTTGTGCCTTTACTTTTGTATATATAGAATCTATGATGTGTTCTTTTTGGCTAAGTACATAGTACTCGTCATTTTGTTTTTTGAACCAATTTCTTAAGGTAGGTATTTCAAGTACTTTTTCAACACTTAAATCTAATTCTTTTCCTTTTATTTGTTCAAAGACTGCATTATCAAATATAATTTTTTGTTCTAATAATTCTTCATTTAGATAGTTTTCTTTGGATATTAGTTTTATGTCATCCTTAGACATTAGATTTCTTCATCATTATCTAGATCAGTATTTATTTCTTCATTTCCTAATTCTGTTTCAATATCTGATACTTCATATATACTATCATTTTCACTTAATTCATAGTCTATGTAGTCTATTTGCATGTATTTATCATTGTCTATAATTACTTCTGCAATTTGTTTTCTTTTTGGATTTTTAGGTAACTTACAATCTCTAGCTAAATGTCCTATCTTTCCGCAGTTGTAACAAGTACATTCTCATAGTTTTCTCTTTGGTCTACGGTCTTTTTATTTTATAATTTTTTACATAATATCTTTGTCTTGGTTTTTTGTATTTATATCTAGTTTTGATTTTTCTATAATTTTTGTGTCGTTCAGGTCTTTGTTTTTTATAATATTTATTTGTACAACCAAACTGTGGTGTTGTTTTATCTTTACAACATGCTAGATTTTTAATTAGTACTTTCTCCATTTTTATTTTTTTTGGTTTTCACATAACTGTACAAACCATTGATGTACAAATTTTATTCTAGCTCCTAAAGTATCTGTTAATCCTTCATTGTTCAAATCTTTAATTATTTTTGTACTAAATGGTTCTGGTAGTTTTGTAAAATATTGTTGTCTTATTTTTTTTTCTTCATTTATATCATATCTTGCTTTATAATAATATTCTTTAAATGCACATGTGTATTCTTCTATATAGCACATTTTACATATAACAAATTTTTTCATAAGTTGTCTATTTATTATTTTTTCTCTATTTTGTTCTTTTATTTTTTTAGTCATGCCACCAAATTCATTCTGTATTGCTAATTCATATTTATCTAATATATCTATATTTGTTGTTGATGGAGACCCATCTATTTTCTTATCACTCCTAAGTGTTTTTAGACTTTCTGGGGTAAATTTCCTATCCATAATTTTGTTGTTCCAACAAATGTTCTTTTTATATATCCTGGCGTTTCTTTTGTTGTTATTTTGTTAGCAATTAGTTGTTTAGATATATTTCCTACCCATAGTAAGATTGCTTTATTTATATCTATAACACAATCTAGATCTAAAAAGTTATATTGTTCAGTTATTGGTCTAGGCGTCCATTTTTATTTAAACTACTATTCCATATATGCATTTGTTCTATCTGATAGTTCATAATTATCTGTATAATAAGTTGGTGTTGTCCATCTGGGACTACTCCTAGGACTATTATCCGGGGTTTTAACCCTTGATGTGCTAGGCTAATCTGTATCTCCTGTATTTATTTCTAATTTTTTTGGCTTATTTACTTGTTTTAGAATTTCTGTGTATGTTTCGCTTATATCACTTATCTCTGATTTTTGATCGTTCATTGTATCTGATTCATTTATTTCGTCTACTTCGTCTATTTCAAGATTTTCATCTAATTTTTGTTTCATCTTATTTATTTCATTAGCAATTCAAGTTCTTTATCTGTTTTTATCTGTTTTTCTTTTTGTTTGGTTTCATATAATAATTTTAGCTTAGCTAATTCTTTTTCTAATTCACTTATTTTTGTATTTTTTATTTCTTCTAGATATTGTACTTCTTGCTTTGCTTGTGTTTTTATTTTTTCAATTTCTTTAGATTTATCTATTTCTTCGTTTTCCTTTGTTATTCTTACCATAGCTGTTAAACTATTTTCTAATGTTGCTTTTTTCTTTTCTAACATTAAATACAAGTTATTTCCTATTTTTTTATATCGTCTTCCTAAATTTGAAAATATTATTTTTATTACTAATCCTTCTTAGTTTCATATGTTTTTTCGTCAACTGCGAATTCTTCTTTATTCATTATGATTCATTTTGTAGTTTATATCATGTTGTAATTTATATTCAAGGCAATTTATTTGTATTTCTAGCATAAATATAACTTTTCTTTGTGCTATTATTTATTTATCACATACTCCTGCTAACATATTTTCTTCTAGTCTTGTTTTTCTGTTCTTTTAATTATTGTCCTTTTTCAATTCTTTTTCTATTAGTTGTTGCTTATATATTTCTTTTTTCATATTGTTTTTTTCAGATAACAAACATATTTATATTTTGTTTTAGAAATTATATCTATCAAAAGATTTGTTTTGCTAGTATTTGTTTTAGTAAGTTGTAATAATTCATATTCTATGTATAAGGTTTTTAACTTTTTCTTTGTCTTTCGTACTCTTCTTTCTATCTTAGTTTTTGTTATAGTAGTTAATTTATTTGATATTGGATTATTCTTCAAAGTCTTAAGAATAAAATATTTTTTCATAATATTCTTTTTAAGTAGATCTAATCGTTGTATTTCATTAGCGTTGTTTGCAATATATTCTAAATATTCATTTTCTCTAGTTCTCAAATATTTTATAAATTTTCAATTTGTAATTTTTTAAGTAGTTCTATTTCTTCTTTAGTTTCTTTCCAGAATTGTAAGTATAATAAATCTATCATTGATCTATGAATAATTCTAGATCGTCATATAAATCTATGTCAAAATCATCTAGTATAATTAATTCTGTCCAACCTTGGATTGTTTTTTCGATTATCTTGTATGACAATAATTTTTCATAAATTGTTCTTTTTATATCAGTATTAAGGCCTTTCAATATATAGATTTTTAATATCTTGTAATTAATATCATCTTTTACTAAATAAGAATTCATTTTAACATGTTTTTGCTAAAATTTTATTCCTTCTAACCTCTTAATACATTATACTTATTTATTATGTAATAATAATGATTTAATAATCATCTAATCTGGTCAGTACTACGGTTTTCTTCTTTGATCGATTACCCTTACAGCGCCTCAACTCTGTTTACTCCCCTAATCGGCCTTCTTGCCTAACGGTTTCAACTTTAGAATGACATAGTCTGGGCATACTTATTCGCAGAATATTTTCGTAGCAAACTTTCTAAAGATGGTTATTATAACATCATTAAAAGATGATAAACAATTATAATCAACAAGAGATTATTAGGAATAAAACAGTTTAGCTACTCATGAATGTAAATGAGTATACCTATTTTTGTAGGTTTGTGATCTCTGAGTTGTTTTCCATAGCTTTAATAATAATGACAATTACTTAAAAAATTAAAAATACAACCAACACTCCTTTCAATTGAATAAAATTCCAAAACATTCTCTACCCAAATTCAGTTTCAGTTCCCAAATTCTAAGCTAGCGTTTGGCCATAGATATTGAAATATTTTTGGCAAATATTATTTGGATGAAAATTTGGGTGAAATTTTACCATGTGTTTGGCCATAGAATTTGAGAAACATATTTCATTTTTTTAAGAAATATGATTTATACCCATAAGTTTTTAAAACTATCAAACTAACCATAAATTTGTCTTACATAGCACCATAGAAATCTCATGTAACAATATTTATGACTTCCACAACAAATTAACAAGAATCATTACAGTAAATATTCGTATAGTTAAAAGGTCTTCGTACTAATCATGATAATGAAAATACAACTAATATAAATTCGGAAAAAAGAGAGAAGAAAACAGAAGGAAATAAATATTGCAATCACTGAAGAACCTATGCTTTCTCTCTGAAAGAGCTCAACCTATTCTTTAATATAATCTTCCCACATTTTATGAACAATCTCTTCCTCGATGAACTTGCATTTCCGAATCAGATGATCGAGAAGATGAAGCGATGTTGTTTCCCTGAGCCAATAGTTCGTCACTTTCATCAACAACCATATCATCATTTTCATATTCATTGAATATTCCATCACTACTTTGGTGTTCACGTAAAAAATTATGCAATACAGCGCAAGCAATTACTATTTTCACTTGCATGTCACATTCATAGTTGTTCATGCCTTGTCTTAGAAATTCTGAATCTACTTTTCCACGCACCAAAAGTTCTTTCAATTACATTGCTCAGAGAAGCATGTCTATAGTTAAATAGCTCTTTTCCATTCTTAGGCTCTCTTTCACTTCCTCGGTAGTCCTGCAAATGATAGCGCATTCCTTTGAATGGAGCTAAAAATCCTCTTGTGTTCCGTAGACCAGCATCAACAACGTAATATTTATCTACCAAAATAAAATATTGAGTAAATTTTCTTATATTGAATAAAAATAGAACTACTAATTTATATACCATGTGATGGGAGATAAATGAATTAGTTGGTATTAATAAATATTATTATTTTTGTAAAATAAAAAGCTAAGGGTAAAAATTGAATTTTTAAAACTTTCCAAATAATAGAATTTGTCCCAAATACTAGTTTTTTCTAGTATTTGGGAATTTGGAAAATTTGCCAAAAAAATTTGTCAAATAATAGAAATGTATATGGACAAACAAAATTTGCCAAGTTTTTTCCCAAGTTTGATGTGCAAAATCTATGGCCAAACGGGCCCTAAATGTCTCGTCCCTTTTTTCCATTCCATCTGAAGCCATAGCTTGATTCACCACATTTCTCTCAAGCATCAGCAGGCCTCCTTCAATGGCTACGTACGTCGGATTTTCAATCTGAAGCATCAACAATTTCTCATTCTTTCAGTTTGCTCTTTCTTGTACTTCGAACTTCCAACTGGTAATCGCTCTCTTTAATTTTCTCCTGAATTTCAGCAGCTTATTTATGAATTTCTATTTGAATTTTTTCTTATTTGATCTCTCTTTCTCGTTGGTAATGTATACATGCATGTGCTATCAGTCTATTAGATAATGTGGATTTATCTTCAATTTTCTTATAATTTGGTTTGAATTTGTTTATAAGATGAGAAAAGTTACTAGATCCACAAAGTATTTGACAAAATATCTAGCAAAAAACTTGATCTACTGTTTCTGATCAGGTATGTCTTTCAATTATTATTATTATTATTATTTTTTTGCAATGTTGGTATTATCTTTCAACATTACTTTGACAACCTTTGGATTTCACTTTTCAAAAACTTGAGTTGCTTTGATCAGTGTAAAACTGTAAATAATTGTAATTTTTGCATTCTTCTATATTTAGCTCGAGAAGTTGATTTAAAGTTCTCTATTTCATGATCTAGTCAAGGTGATGTAAGAATCAAGTGAATATTTGTACTTCCAGATTTTGATTCCATGTGAATAAAAAACTTTCATATCTCTAGTCTTTTTGTTGTTCTTTGCTTGATGAACATTCCAGTTTTGTTTCTTTTCCGTGTTAACACTATTTTAGTTGTGCAAATCCTTGTCGATATTGATAAATGAACCTGTGGTAGCTTTTCTTAATTTGTACAGAATAAAATTTTGTATTATATACTACCTATGTATAATTTCCTGTACAACCTATGGTAGCTTTTCTAAATGTCACTACCAGGATAATGTAGCTGCGATGGCTCACCAATATTTACGAAGTATAGTAGGCTCTAGAGAGTTGCAATGGCCATAGGTATGGTTTTTAAACGTCATTGCTGTGACATTTTGCATCGCTACGTGTAAAACATCATATCACTAATCAACCTGTCATTGCAATTAGGAAAAAGAATTACTTTTGACCTCGTTATACTTTGTTCTTTGAATTTCAGAGACTAATTGATATCTGAATATTTGCATGGAACTCGCAGTGACAGTGAATGTTGTACCTGGTCTAACTATTTCCTGATTATATTTCAGGGTGCATACAGGAGGAGACCTGTTCCAGGTTGATTCTCAAGCTAGTGATGCTGTTCTGAAAGAACTGTGGCACCATAGTGACGCAATAATATGTTGCTCTGTAAAAATGAATGTCAGTATACTGCTTCTATACTTGTTCTGAACCACAAATTAATCAATACTAAGCATTTATCCAAGATTCATTCTAGAGATGAAACAATACATAATTACTCAGTGAACTTTTGTGATGCTCGCATCCGCAGTTTTTACATTTGCAAACCAGGCTGATCTTGACATGCTTGAAACCACTTTTGTAGATCTTCAGGATATAATGCTTGATAAGATTCTAGATGAAGCTGGTCGTAAGGTCCTAATTCATATATAATCAAATATGAAATAAACTTATCTGGTGCCTATGTTTAAAGTTTGGTGACCTTAACAGGGACAAACACCAAGTGAAGAGAAAGAAGGAGAAGCTCTTTGTACAGATGGTAGCGAGATATCAAATATTGAGACTGAAATGAAGTGAAGAATAAAACGTCTCTACAAGAATTGATTGGTGTAGTATCCTCTTGCCTATCTGAAGGTAAAGAGGTAGTTAAATAGTGTTCATGCTATTTTCTCATTACTTGAATAGGTAGTCGTGCATAAATTACTTGAACATGTAGTCTTGCATAACAAGTCGTCAGGTAGTCCACAAAAACAGGTGCTTGCATATCCCGCAGTAGCAGATTTTTCACTAATTGTTGTTGGAATTCTTCCCTTGAAAATATTTTGGAGGAAATCCCTTTGATAGGCAGACCATTTCAAGTGGGCCAACCGATGAACGTAAGGTCGCTGATCCAAATATACAAGATTTGGTTTGAATGGGAGGTTATGGAAAGAATGGTCATAAAGAAAACGGTAAGAAACTCATGTTTAGTGAAAAAGGCAAAGATACGAAAAAAAGAGTAGCAGAGGTGAAGCAAAGCATAGTTGCTGGTATGCAGATTGATGGTATTTCACGGAAGAGTATGAAATATTTTTTTGAAGAAAGAATTGTTGAATCTGCTGTTGGGGTAATCTCCATTTCTGCCTTGCCATCATGGCTCCCTCCGCCAACACCTGCTGTTGGGGCAATCTTGAGCTCAAACCTATACCAAGCAAGTTTTAGAAGAATTTTGTTGTGTGCGCAAGACAACAAGTCCTTAATAACAAAAGGAAGAATAAGATCCTCTCGATATTACATATGATCGTGATCTAAGTTGTCACACTTTCACTGACTCAATTTTCTTGCTTCTTCATTTTTGCAAACTTCTTTTAATTTTGATAACTTGAACACGATCTTGTACGTAATTCATATTTTTACCACTAGAGGACAATAAAGTTGATGTATCATGTTTTTGATTGTTCTTATAATGGAATGAATTTCGTTTGAGTTTGGTGATTCTTCGATTACTATTTTTGTATTGATTTCTCTAGTTATACATATGAGTTAAGGTGAACTCCTGGTCAATTATAATCTTCATAGTAATTTCAACAAAAATAGGTCTCATTTATCGGTAATTATAATTTATAAATGTGGAAGCTTTACTGGCAATAGTTATTGCCGCCAAATAAATGCCTCTAAAAGAAATTACTTTTAGCGGCTATTATAGGTCTTTACTGGCACTATATATATATGCCGCTAAAGGCTTTAGCGACACTGAATTCAATGACAATAAATTAAATGCGGCTAAAAGTTATTGTGGCATTAAATATTGCCGCTAAAAGGAATATTAAATGTCACTTAACCTCTTTTGTTGTAGTGCATTAAAACATTCATGTCTGTGTATGTGTACATATATGAAAAATCCTTTCACATAAACACATTTAGACACCACATGCTCATTATTAATTAGTCATATACATTACATAATAACATAGTAATAAGATGCATAAGAGAATCACTTCCAATCCCTTATATTCATATACTTGTCATCATCTCACATACATCATTTTCATAGCTTAATCATGCATTGATAACTTATGTATATAAAGAAACCACCGTAGTAACTATTATCTCAAGGTTCATCTGTGCAATGCATAGGTAAAGTCTCATTTCCTTATCTACACTAGTACACTTTTCAAGTCATCCTTGTTATGATGCATCTTCTTACTTCCATTCATTCGATTGACTTCATGAACATACTGCACTTATAGTTGTGCATGTGGTGTGTTTGTATACATATAGGTCATCATGATCACCTAAGAGTAACAACATGATATTGAGTAAACCACACTTCAAGGATCACAATACTTATACGATATCCCTCAAGCCATAAACAATCCACATATAGAGTATTAGGGACTATAGGCCACACACCCACATTACATCATTGGAGACAAGAACATATTCAACATTTCAATATAAAACTCCTAATATGCTTAAGATCACACATTGATATGGGGTTACATAGGTAGGGGGTAATTCTAAAAGAGTATTCATCACACTTAATCATATAGACTATACCTAACCCTAACAATATCATTAACATATACATAACATCATCAGTACACCTAGATTATGATACTAGAATTGAAGACTTACACAAGACCTTCATACTTGTGATCATCATCACCAAAATACACATTACATCTATTTCCTTTAAGTCCATGATCACCACATGTATAGATAGACAAGAATGTAAACACCGCCACCATAAATGGACCATACAATACAATATCAAGTTGAAGACTATAATTAGGGATTTAGGTCAACTTACTAATTCTCAAAGCTATGATCACCATAGGCCGATTCTCAACCATTCATAATCAATTTATTTATATAGAATTAGGATTAAAAAAATACACTACAGTCTACACACAATAAAAACATCGTCTAATAAAGATCACAAGACCCACATTATAGGCTAAATTGAGAGATTATGGAAATCATGGGGCTAATCTATAACAACTAAGTGTAGATACACACCCCCAATAGACAGAGTGTCGACCAGTCTACTTGTCGTCGTTTGCATGGGCGTAGTTTGACATTGCCTTGATAATGATTTTCTAACTTTTGGGTCCTCTAAAAGGACCCTTATTGTGGTCCATGTGGAGTCCTTCCTAGATGTTTTGACCCTTTACATGAATATTTACATATTAAGATACTTCCCTATCATTTTAGACTCCAAACAACACTCCAACATAAGACAAACATACAAAGGCACACTAGCACACAAACGATTAGTTTGCGAACGTCCAGGTCGTCCTTTGACATTTGACATCAAACTTCATAAAAAAACCACTACAAGTTGTGACACACCTTATAAAAAACTTATAAACTCTTAAGGAAAATGTGAGGCTCTAGATTATCCTAGTTTGTTTTGAGGGTCCGAACCCCCCACATAGGAAACATTCTTCTTCAAATGACAATATCAACATATCATCGTATAATAGTCAATGCACCAAACTTATAAGGAACACCAACTTCAGACCATTATGTACTCAATGAAAAACAAGAAAGTAGAGACTTCATTCACTCATTCCTAATGCATTAAATACATAGACACTTCTAATGTTCATAGGAGGAAAATCCTTCTCCTAATCATTACATGATCTTCACTTTTTATTTTCCCCAAAAGGCTCAATATGCTATAACTTGTAAATTACACACATGCATGTTCATCATTATAACGCAAATCAAAGCTAACTAACTCATACTATATGCACATAGATCATGAGTAATGTAGATCAACAAATTCTTTAACATTAGGTATAACACTACCAAGGACATACATATCATCACCATGTAGTCTTTGTTGACGAAGGAATTTCCTTCTCCTTCATATACAAGAATTTTACAAAGTTCAATTCATTTTATGGAGAATTTCTCTACTCCTAACAAAAATATTCTCATACTCCCTTCCTTATGAAGTCATAATGGTAGATCACACTATGCACCTCATAATATTAGAAAGTTATTTCAAAAATTTCAATTCTAGCATAACACTAGTTTTCCTAAACATGCATAATTTGGGGAAATTGTTACAATTCATAGGTACAAATCAATAATAATGTCTAATCACACTACCACTTCTCAAGAGTGAGCCTATGTTAACACTACCCAAATCACAAAGTCACACATTTTTGAAGGGACTCATCTTTCCTCATTTAAGCAAAAACTCAAGACCTCCTTATTGGGCCAAGATTCCCTTACATCAAAAGTGTTATAGAGCATGTTCTTTAAAAGATCTCATGAATTCAAACACTCACTAATATATCAAGATGCAAAAAACATGAGAAACATACAACTTATCAATAATCCCTTTTCATGCAATAAGAATCCTTGAAAACATGCATAAAATAGTGTCGTGTGATACATGCATAACGTATGGAGAACATCCAAATTATACTCATATGAAAGATAACATGATAAAGCTACTCGAAACTCTTTGGTTTTAAGCTTGAGTAAGAATAAAAGGAAAATCTAGGGATATCAAAAACGCTACTACTCAACTCATCATCCCCGCTTAGGGTAAACCCATCAAAGATAAGATCATTGCTTCCAAGAGAACTTGGACTTACCAATCCTTCTAGTAAGGTACAACATCCCCTTTTTTGATCAAACTTATGCATACCCTTATTAACATCACCTCTTTTCACTCTAATGAAGGAACCATTTCTCAGAATCTTCACTGATACTCTATTTGTCACGATCGGAGTCTAGAAACTAGCCGAAACTGGCATCGTTGACCTCTCAGAGGTTCCAGACAAGCCTACATACGTCATTGTTACATCATCTAGATAAATTTTAGCGGATAATTTGAAGATTTTGTTTAGTTAAAGTATACTTAGACTTCAGAACAGAAAATATCATATTCGAATAAGATCATCTATTAATTTCATAATCATTCACAATAACCATCTAATATCAAGATACTCAAATGAATGAAATAGTTCATAACTACATTAAATGTATACTTGCCAAAATGGAACCAATACAATATTTGAAACAATGTGAGAAAGAAATAATAGTGGAACATCCTCCACTAGCTCATGTCTACATCTAAGCTAGAACATAAAAGACAGGCATACTCAAAAGGAAGAGGGCCCGCCAAGTCCGAATGAATGCTCCATGTTCAGATAACTTCAGCGCAGTCTCATAGGCTCAAGCGTTCACTTGCACCAGACCTAAAAGTAGAGAGTTGTATGGGATTAGTACACAATTTTACTAAGTATGGTATATGCAAGCACAAACCAAGGACATGCATGATTCAGAAGAGCTCTCTCCTAACGATATGAGTTATGGAATGTCAAGTCAGTGGACTTGCCAAATCGGATTAGGAAAGTCATGCAATGAGAGTATCATGCATCATCATACATATTATTTTGCAAACAGCACACAACATATTTCACATATCATATCACATAGTTCATATCATTTCATATGCTATGATATGTTGGAATCATGGACTTGACATTGAGACTTCCCAAAATGAGGACTCAACATATGGGACCTCAACTAGGGAGCATCTTTCAGAAATCAAAGAGTCTGCTTCATTCATTCATACGGTCTTCATTTTCATTCATTCATATACTAGTGTAAACACCAACTATACATAGGATGTAGTTTAAGACTTCCATTGGGTTTGCTGTGCAATGACCAAGAACAACCTAGTGTCATTACTTAAGCCTATCTTACCTCTTGATTATCCTATCCTAAAAACTTTGGTATCGTTCATTTCATTATGTGCATTATTTGAGGTTGGCGTCATTCTTTCTTTGGGAACTTTAACCTTAACCGACATAGATCATGTGAGCATCATGAAATCCAGTGTTTAACCACACACCAAAAGAGATTGAATCATAGGCCAAAGTGAACCAAAGCATGCTAGCGTATATAGGGACTCAAATCCTGCTAGAACCCTATATTGGCAGTATAAGTTGAAACACTAAGAGATAAAAGAAGACCCATACCCGTCTGGATGGATAATATCATATCATGAGAATTACACGAACCTCTGCCTTGTTGAAAGAAGGAATCGCAACTCATATCTAGCTTATCGCTGCTCAGTATAAAGTTCCATTACATTCATCTTATACATCATAGAAGCTATCTTCTAGCATGAGGCATCATAGATCATTAGATGATTTCTCATCTCATCATTACGTAATAAGTGTGAATTGTCCTTACACTTACATTTAGAGTGTGATTGAGACTTGACTATTAATTTTCAACACTCTTTTAGGTGAGTACTTTTGGTGACATTATATTTGGCGTAGGTACAATTTGTCTCACTTGCACTAGCCTCATATTGTGATGCCACCCTGTTATTTTTTTAACATCTTTTCATTTAATCTTTACTCACCTTTCATCATTTGTTCATCCTATAACATACATATGCTCTCTTGGAGTTCATATTGAGGGACATTAATTCTAGACGTAGATACAACTTG